CAACTCCAGTATTCTTGCCTGGAGAATCCCATGGACAGAGGAGCTTGACAGGATGTCCATGGGGTTGCAAAGAGACACAACTGAAGCAACTTTGCTCGTTATGGTATTGGACTTCCCAGGTGTCTCAGTGGTAAAGAATCCACCTGCCAATGCAGGAGATTCAGGAGACTTGGGTTTGATCCCTGTGTCAGGAAGATCCTCTGAGGAAGGAAATGGCAACCCACTCCAGTATTCTTGCCGGAGGAATCCCATGGACAGAGGAGCCTGGTGGGCGACAGTCCATGGGGTCGCAGAGAGCAGCCAGCTGAGCACGCACACATGTTTAGTTATTACGACTTTATACTTGACTTCTTCTCTGGTGTTCTTCCGCCGTCTCCAGCCCGGTTCTGTGCACCACCGTACTGAATATTGACCCCCCCAAAGGTGAATCTTCAGGGGCCTTCATTGAGGACACAGGCAACAGAAGACTAGGTGGAAACCCTGGATTCCCCTAGTAAATACTGTGACCACCACAGTTCTCTCTTGTGCCTACCTTTCACCTCTTACAAACCTCATGTGACCATTTGCTTTGGTTTGAGATTTTGTTTACAAATACAATTATTTAAGTTCTTCATGAAAATAATGTGCACATGGTTGATTACCCATCAAAGAGCACAGAAGGACTCATTACTGCAGAGCAGCTGTCTGGACTCTGCTCTCCTCTGTCTTCACCGTGCTGCCCAGATGCAGCCATCATGCCCTCTGTTGGTTCCTGTTGGTTGCCATCTCCAGGGTCTGAGTAATAAGCTTCCAGAACTCCTTATTGCCAAATTCAGACTTAAATTGAAGAAAGTAGCGAAAACCACTCGACCATTCAGGTACGACTGAAATCAAATCCCTTACAATTATACAGTGGAAGTGAGAAACAGATTTAAGGGGCTCGATCTGATAGACAGAGAGCCTGATGAACTATGGACGGAGGTTCGTGACATTGTACAGGAGACAGGGAGCAAGACCATCCCCATGGAAAAGAAATGCAAAAAAGCAAAATGACTGCCTGAGGAGGCCTTACAAATAGCTGTGAAAAGAAGAGAAGCAAAAAGCAAAGGAGAAAAGGAAAGATATTCCCATCTGAATGCAGAGTTCCAAAGAATAGCAAGGAGAGATAAGAAAGCCTTCCTCAGTGATCAATGCGAAGAAATAAAGGAAAACAACAGAATGGGAAAGACTAGAGATCTCTTCAAGAAAATGAGAAATTATCTAAAAAAAAGAAAAAAAAATAGAAAACAAACAAAAAAAAGAAAATGAGAGATACCAAGGGAACATTTCGTACAAAGATGGGAACAATAAAGGTCAGAAATGGTATGGACCTAACAGAAGCAGAAGATATTAAGAAGAGGTGGCAAGAATACGCAGAACTGTACAAAAAAGATCTTCACGACCCAGATAACCATGATGGTGTGATCACTCACCTAGAGCCAGACATCCTGGAATGTGAAGTCAAGTGGGCCTTAGAAAGTATCAGTACGAACAAAGCTAGTGGAGATGATGGAATTCCAGTGGAGCTATTTCAAATCCTGAAAGATGATGCTGTGAAAGTGCTGCACTCAATATACCAGCAAATTTGGAAAACTCAGCAGTGGCCACAGGACTGGAAAAGGTCAGTTTTCATTCCAATCCCTAAGAAAGGCAATGCCAAAGAATGCTCAAACTACTGCACAATTGCACTCATCTCACATGCTAGTAAAGTAATGCTCAAAATTCTCCAAGCCAGGCTTCAGCAATACATGAACCGTAAACTTCCAGATGTTCAAGCTGGTTTTAGAAAAGGCAGAGGGACCAGAGATCAAATTGCCAACATCCGCTGGATCATTGAAAAAGCAAGAGAGTTCCAGAAAAACATCTATTTCTGCTTTATTGACTACGCCAAAACCTTTGACTGTGTGGATCACAATAAACTGTGGAAAATTCTGAAAGAGATGGGAATACCAGACCACCTGGCCTGCCTCTTGAGAAACCTATATGCAGGTCAGGAAGCAACAGTTAAAATTGGACATGGAACAACAGACTGGTTCCAAATAGGAAAAGGAGTATGTCAAGGCTATATATTGTCACCCTGCTTATTTAACTTATATGTAGAGTACATCATGAGAAACGCTGGGCTGGATGAAGCACAAGCTGGAATCAAGATTGCTGGGAGAAATATCAATAACCTCAGATATGCAGATGACACCACCCTTATGGGAGAAAGTGAAGAGGATGACAGTGAAAGAGGAGAGTGAAAAAGTTGGCTTAAAGCTCAACATTCAGAAAACTAAGATCATGGCATCTGGTCCCATCACCTCATTGGAAATAGATGGGGAAACAGTGGGAACAGTGGCTGACTTTATTTTTGGGGGGCTCCAAAATCACTGCAGATGGTGATTGCAGCCATGAAATTAAAAGATGCTTACTCCTTGGAAGGAAAGTTATGACCAACCTGGATAGCATATTAAAAAGCAGAGATATTACTTTGCCAACAAAGGTCTGTCTGGTCAAGGCTATGGTTTTTCCAGTGGTCATGTATGGATGTGAGAGTTGGACTATAAAGAAAGCTGAGCACCAAAGAATAGATGCTTTTGAACTGTGGTGTTGGAGAAGACTCTTGAGAGTCCCTTGGACTGCAAGGAGATCCAACCAGTCCATCCTAAAGGAGATCAGTCCTGGATGTTCATTGGAAGGACTGATGCTGAGGCTGAAACTCTAATACTTTGGCCACCTCATGCGAAGAGTTGACTCATTGGAAAAGACCCTGATGCTGGGAGGGATTGGGGGCAGGAGGAGAAGGGGATGACAGAGGATGAGATGGTTGGATGGCATCACCGACTCAATGCACATGAGTTTGAGTGAACTCCGGGAGTTGGTGATGGACAGGGAGGCCTGGAGTGCTGCGATTCATGCAGTCACAAAGAGTTGGACATGACTGAGCGACTGGACTGAACTGAACTGATGTCCAGGTCTTGAATTATCAATTCTGGACCTTGTGTATTGATTCCCTCCTGTGATAGAAGATTTAGCTACTCTGTATGGCTCCCACATCCCCTTCCTGCCCCCTGCTGTCATGGATTCCAAGTTTGTGCTCTCTCTGCACTACAAGCCAATAAATTGAGAGACAAGTTGTTGGGGGCAAGAATAATGACATTATTCAGAAATCCAGCAGACCAAGAAGATGGTGGACTAGTGTCCAAAGCATCATCTTGCCCAGGTTTGGATGCTAGTATCTTTTCAAGAGCAAAGAGAGGGAAGTGAGGAGGTAAATTAGACAAGGTGATGTTGTTTAGTCACTAAGGCATGTCTTAATGTTGTCTAAGCTATAGGCAACATCCCTTTAGGGACTGCATGCATGCTTAGTCGCTAAGTTATGTCCCACTCTTTTGCGACCCCATGGACTGTAGCCCTCCAGGCTCCTTCTGTCCAGGGGATTTCTCAGGCAAGAATACTGGAGTGGGTTGCCATTTCCTTCTCTAGGGCCTCTTCCCAACCCAGGGATCAAACCCACGTCTCCGGCATTGGCAGACCCACTGAGCCACCTGGGAAGCCATGTTTTTGGTGATTAACTTGTAGAAAAAACAATAGCATGCAAAGGTTAAAGTCAAAGAAATGGATCCAATATGGAGTCAGATTTGTTCTTCCCCATTACACTTCCAGTGTAGCGGTTTCACAATTCTTGTCTCTTTCACTTTGCCCTCAACTTCTCCTCCCAGCCTTGTAACCTGAACCTCTGTTTGTACAATGTCAAGGTTGAAGCATTTATGCTGTGTTCCTTAAACAAAGTCAAGCCTCCTGTGATTTGCGCATAGGTTGATTCTACATGTCCCAGGCCAGTAAACAGTGTTTCCTATCATTACTAGGTAAATAGTATCCACCTAGAGCCAAGTCCTGAGCTTAGTCGTAAGATTGCCCCGCCTCCTCAGTGGTTCTAGCATCACAACTATGCCCCTCAACGGAAAATGTTTCTATGCCTAAATTCAAATGGATTCTCCTCCTCTGTGTTCTAGCATGTAACCAAAATAACATTCAATTTTAGTTTGCTTTTTACTTAGACGTACTTTTTTTTATTATCAAAATTTTATGTTTTTAACAATTTGTACTGGAGTATAGTTGGTTTACAATGACATGTTAATTTCAGGTGTACAACAAAGCAAATCAGTTATCCATGCACATATCTCTCTTCTTTTTCAGATTGTTTTCCCATATAAGTTAATACAGAAAATTGAATATAGTTCCCTGTGCTATACAGTAGTGGACTATAACCTTCTGTTGATGGGATTTTTTTTCTTGTAATTTCTGATTCCTTTTCTTCTGTTTTCTTTTGCCTACTGGGATGAGGTTTTTGATATGTCAGCTTGTCTAGTCTGGAGTTCTGATATTCAAACTCTAATCAAGGTGTTGCTGTGAAGAGATTTTGGTAATTAAAGGCCCCAGGCAGTTGATTCTAAGTAAGGGGGATTAAAGTGCATGGGGTGAAGTTTCTCTCAGAGGAAAAGAAGACATCTCTCTGGACCTGTGCACAACAGCATCAGCCTGTGCCCATGGTTTCAAGCCTGCCATGATGTTTTCTTCCTGATAGCCTGGCCTATGGACGTGAGAATTGTGTAGCCAACCCCGCAATCAAGTAAGTCAATCCCTTTGTAATCTATCTACCTATCTATCTATCCTTTAATCTATCAATCTTCTATCATCTCTAACTGCTTCTGCTTTTCTCTTTGAACCCTGCTGTTCTTTTATCACAATTTCAAGATTTACCAGTGTTTTATCATACTGTTTAGTCCACTGAATCCCCCATTCTCTGGAGCTGTTCGCCCCACCTCCAATCCACATACATCATTCTCTAGCCCCAACAGACAGCCACTTTCTCAGGACTTACCTTCACTGCTCTCCCAAGTTGAACTTATGTTTCCTGGATTCATATCATCCTGTCTATTGGTTTACTTCCTCATTTTGTTGGAGTTCAACAAAAAGTTATTTCCTTTAAAAAAAAAATGAAGGTAAATTTTGAGAAAATGTTTCACATTTTGCTCTCCCTGTTGATGGACAGTTTGGGTACAGAATTCCAGGTTGAAAATGACTCCCCTCTAAAACCTTTGAAAGCACTGATAAGAGTTTTTCTTTGCTCTCTAGGATTGCTGGTGAGAAACCCATACCAACAGATTATCAATCTGTTTTTAGATGACCTGTTATCTTTCACCACTGGAAGCTTTTGGCTTTGTCATGCTAAATTCACAACAACAGGTCTCATTGTTATTAAAATAATTCCACCAATTTTGCTAGGCATACCCTGTTCACTAGAACCTGTGAATATGTTATCTTACAAGGCAAAAGGGATTTGGCAAATGTGACTAAGTTAAATATCTTGAAATGGAGAGATTATTTGATGGTCCCAATGTAATCACGAAAGTTCTTATGAGGGAAAGAGGGAGGCTAGAGAATCAGAATTAGAGAAGGAGATGTGACAATGGAAGCAGAGAGGGTCGCCATCCAACCTGTTGAGGGCCTGAATACATTAAAAAGGCAGAGCAAGGGTATATATTCTTTTTTGTTTGAGCTGAGAAATCCACCATCTCCTGCTTTTGGACACTGGTGCTTCTGGTTCTCAGATCTTCAGATTGGGACCAATTATACCACCAAATTTCCTGGTTCTCCATCTTGCAGATAACAGGTCAAGGGATTTCTTGAACCTCATAATGCATGAGCCCACTCCTATTATATATAATAAGAATATATATATGTGTATATATATAGAGAGAGAAAAAGATAGAGAAATACAGATATATAATTGCATGTGTATATGTTAACTCAGCATTAGTTTGTTCAATCATTAGCAGAAATGTTCACCATCCGTTCGATAAATAATTAAGCATTAATTCTGTGCAATATAATATAATAAGATCTATTTGGGGTTAGATGGTTAGGATATAAAGGTGAGCAAAAGTAGATATATTTTCTGCTCTCATAGAGTTTACAGTCTTGAGATCACACAAGCAAATATAAAATTACATCTGTGGTGAGTGCTTTGAAGGAGTGGCACAAGTCTAATGACTGAATGCGGGCTTGCTGGCCAAGTCTGAGAGGTAAGTGACGATTTCTGTAAGGAGATGACTTGTGAGTAGCATAATTTTCAGTAAATGCCATTTTATATTTTGTAAACATATATATATTATTATTGTTGCATATATAGATTTCACCAAACATATAGCATAAAAGATGATGAAGTAGAAGTGTAAAGTGTTTAGCACAGGGTGTGGGGAGACCTGGGAGGCCTGAAGTCTCTCAGTATCAGCTTTGCCAGCAGATGGCTGTATAGCCTAGGGCAGCTCAACTTGTCTTCCCTCGGCAGGAGTTTTTCAGCTATACAGTGAAGGAGTTGGATAAAATGATCTGTTAGGTCATTTCCAGATCTAAATGTCTGTCAAAATTTGTATATTTTCATTAAAAGTCTTGTCTCTCTTAAGTGTTTTGATTTAAGAAATAATTCTACTCAGATCATGTAGAATTTCCTAAGAAAAGATCATTTGTTCAAGAAATATTTTGGGCTACTTGTTGTCTAATTGTGTGTGCGTGAATAGGTGTGATGGGGTGTGTGTGTGTGTGTGTGTGTAGAGAAAGGGGAAAACATGTGAGTAAGATGGGTCATTTTAAGTGAAAATAGAAATATATTTCTATGTTGGCAAATACATATTTTTTGTTTATTTCTGGGAGATGCATTGACTGAAGAACAGGGTTTCAATCAACAATTACTTTTTGGAGCATTAATTAAGTATTTCTTTGGGACTTTTTGTATGAATCCTGACTTTGTTTTCAATTGTAAAATTTCTCAGATGTTAGCATGCAACAATGTTAACACCTGCTCTGAAAATATTATTGGAAACTGGATGAACAGTGCATGCATGTGTGTGTGTGTGTGTGTGTGTGTGTGTGTAGTTCATTTATTGGTAACAAAAGCCCTCTTTGCGGGAAACACAAGATCTATTTTCTTTTTCTTTTTTTTTTCTCTTTACATAATCCTTTCTTTTTTTTTCTCCATGCATTTTGTTTGCTTTAAATGAAAGAAGCAGAAACTTGGAACCGAAAGGCCCTCGAGGGGTGCATAGGATCAACCTGTACCAGTTTCACTGCTGAGGCTCCTGGGGCCACAGCCCTGGGCAAAGCCCAGTGTCACACGCAAGATGCTTCTCATGCCTGGTGTTTTTCTGTAAGAGAGCACGCCACCTAAAATCTGGGAAAACAAGGCTTCATCTGCTGGGCAGGGCAGGCTCCTGCGGTCAGTTTTTGAGGGCCAGAGCCCACCTTGGTGGTGACAGCTGTCCGCAGACACCTCTGTGCCCTTCCGTGGGCGACTCGGGAGGGCGGGGCCGGTCTGTGCTGTCACCACCAAGGTTAGGAGCTGCTTCTGCCACCCGGCCTGGTGTGAGAGGAAGATGTGGATGGGTGATGGGGCACAGAGCAAAAGCGACGGCTTCCTATGGACAGAATCTGGCCCGGCTGGGCTGGCGGTTTCATTTCTGACATTGATCCACATAGTGTCAAAACAGCTCCCAACAGTAAAGGTGCAGAAGGTCTGGGCTTTTAAGACGAAAATGATCTCACTTGAAGGGATTGGGGAAATGTCATGAAAGTCACTGATGTGACCGATAAATATAAACATGACATATCTGTCTTTTCTAACCTCATCTTCAGAAAACAAAAGCAAAAATGAAGAAAGTCGGCCAGAAGTGAGCGGGGTCTCAGAAGGGCCGTGTGTCCCCTGAGAGCTACGACGGTAATCTGGAATCTCCAGTGCTCCGGCATGGGGCTAGGTTGTCCGTGCACACTCGTTGTGTTGCCCCAGGGTCCTGGGAGCTTGGGCCACAGTGCTTCCCTCTTCAGATGCAGAGAGGGAGGTCTGTGTGGTCTCGCACGGCTCGTGGTGGGCCGCCACACTGAGTCGGCAAGCTGCAACCTTCCTTCGGGCCTGCAGAGGCATGAGTGTGGTTGGGTGGTCTGGCTCCTTGCGGCCAGCAGGCTCAGCTGCCTCTTTGGCATCAGGCTCCTTGCCCTGGGTGGCAGGGACAGCATCCTCCTGCTGGAGAAAGTGCTGAGAGAGCTGTCTGTGGAAGCTGGCATTCGGAAGCCATCTGAGCCTGGGTCTGAAGGGGCCAGAGACTAGTGAACTCAGCAATCCAAAATGACGCCTGTCCCCTGCAGCTGGGACTCATGGCCAGGCTGCAGGCTGTGACTCCCAAGCACACTTGCCCCAGTAAGTAATATTAGCACTTAATGGGTTGTGTCACCAAGGTGACAGATAAGCTGCATGAGACCTTGCTGTCCGTGTGGCCTTTGGTATTTCCACCTGTCCTCTGGCAGGACAGAGCCAGTCCTGGGCGCTCTCACCTCCGGGAGCTCCCTTTGGCCTCTGGTCAAGCGCTGGGGAGCAGGGACAGCCCTGGCGGGACACTGAGCTGGGCCCCCGTAGCCCCCAGGTCTCGGGCTGGCCTTAACCCGTGTGGATCCCCGGTGTGGGTCGGGTTTGGGATGGTGCTGGGTGGCTTCTCTGTGTTCCGTTCCTTTGTCATCCCTCCCCCACAGGGGCTTCCGGCCTCACACCAAAAAGGAGCGGGGAGAGGGCAGAGAGGAGCCGGCTGACTCACTCTCCCCTGCTCAGACCTCAGACAGGAGGTTCTGAGAAGGCCCCCTTCCTCCCTGCCTCTTGGGGAGCGGGGTGGAGCACGGGGTGGGGGCGGCGGCGGCAGCGGGGCTTCTCCCGGAAGGTCAGGAGCAGCCTGGCCCTGCCCCTCTCTCCTGGTGCTGTGTCCCATGTGGGCTTTCAGCAGGGAAGCCAGGTCATCTCTCCAGCCCAGGGCCGACCGCCACCTCTTTTTGGACCTCCAGGTGCTGCGTGGCCTTACAGAGCTCCCGGGGAGACTCGCTGGGGTTCCGGGGGTCCTGGTGGATGTGCCCCTGTGAGTCACTGGCCTCAGGTACCAGCCCTGACTCAGCCTGATGGGCCGGAGGTCCCTGGCTGCAGGCTCTAATCTTCTGGGGTGTGCAGGCTTGGAGCGGCCCTGGAGAAGGGCAGCCCCAGTTCTCAGGGTGCACGGGAGCCTGACCCACCTCTTGCCTCTGCCTGCAAGTTCTCATGAACCAAGAATTGTAGCCTGTTTTCCTCAAGTCCCTTTTGTCCTGAACACTCGGAGAGAGTAGTTTCCCCGTGTTCTCTGGGAGCTGCAGGTGGCTGTGTGATGTGATGGCCGTGTCACAGAGCCATGTCCCAGCTTGGGTACAGCTGCCGCTTAAATCCCTGCCGCTTGGAAACCACAACCCCTTGTACAGAAACCTCAGCTCTGTAGGTGAGCCCTCAGATGGGGTCCTGCTTAGGACCCATATGCCACACTTGACCGTGAGCTTCCTGCGAAAGGCCTGCCCCCCAGAGGGTGACAGACCCTGCCCCTTGTCCTGCAGGCCCTGCCCACTCAGCGTCTCCCTCCGGCCTTCCCATTGTGATCCTCCACCCGGCGCACGGCATGGGTGACCACTCTGGGTGCATGGGCCACAGGCAGCCCCGGCCTCTGGACCCATGGTGTGTGCAGGAGGCCAGCTTAGTGTGAGCACTGGCCCGGTGGCCTCTGGGTGCCTGCTTCAGGGGCTCCCCTGCCGTGCCGAGGGCACGCTGTCTGCAGCAGCACAGTGTGGGTCCAGGGGCCAGACGCTGAGACCGCGATGTGTGCAGGCAAGGTTCAGACTGGGGCTGGTCTCATGCTGTCACACCTAGCCATCCTCCTCCGTGTTCAGTCCAAACAGGTGCTCATTAGACGTGGCTGGTTACAGAGAGGCTCTGTGGCCTGATTTGTAAAATAGCCCGAAACCCGGCCCACATTGTTGTTTAGCTGCTAAGTCATGTCCAACTCATTGTGACCCCATGGGCTGTAGCCCACCAGGCTCCTCTGTCCATGGGACTTCGCAGGCAAGAATACTGGAGTGGGTTGCCATTTCCTTCTCCAAGATCTATTTTCTAAATTCGTAGAAATATACTTAGAAATGGCTGCATGATTTGGGAAAGTTATATGTAATAAAAAAAACTAGAATAGATTTTAGAATTAGACTAGCTCTGTTTCTTGAAGTGAGTGATCTTTAATATTTTGTTTATCAGTTTGTACTTATTCTGGTATGTGATTAGAGATGCTTATGATTTAGAAATAGTAATATAATCCAAGTGAATCAATTGCCCATATTTTTAAAAAATAAGGACATACTCTTCCATTTTTTATTTAATTTAATGTCAAAATATCCTGTTCACAATTTTAATTTCTACTTTGAGCTTCAAATTGCAGGGAACTTGTTCTTTCACCACTGAAGCAGTCCTTCTCACAAAGGACAGCGTGGGAACTCAGCCGAACTCACAGGAAGCGTGAGTCTGCCATGATTTTTTTGGGTAGTGTTGAGTCAGTGAGGAAAAAGGAAGCATAACTGACAAGGGGAGCAGCCTCACTGGGGTCACTGAAAACAGTCAAGAGAGAAATGGCTCGTTTCACATTCTTTCCTTCCTGGGAAACCGAGGTGCGCCAGGGGAATGCAGTCCTCAATCCCTTTTGATCTCGGAGGGCCTTTGAAATACACGCATAATTACAAGTAGGCTTTGGGTGGCATGTGGGAATACTTAGGCAGCATCACCTTTGGAAAGCGCTGGTGTCCCTCCACAGATCTCAGTTCAAAAGCCGAATTCCTTTCCTGGCAAAAGTTTTGGATTTTTCCCATTTTCCTTAAAGAACTTTGTGTTTCAGTTTCTAACTGCCATTTATAGTCTGGTCACACAATGAGATGACTATTAATGCATAAATAAATACATGTGAACTACTAACAGGTGTCTCTAGAAACTAAGGTCCCTTTCCACGATTCATCTGAGAACTATAGTATAGGCAAAAATAGTAACACACATAACCTTGATCAGCTGTGGGTATATCCAAATAGCCAAAATGCAGCTGTGGGGAGATTAGGCCACATGGACTAAATCCTTTCTTTATAACTGCATTAAAGTGCAAGACAGAAGAGATAAAATAAATGAAGGCATTTACATATTTCCTAAAACTACAAAGTCTGTGCCAATAGTTCAGAAATGCATTTTATTACTATGCATATATATTTGTAAATATGGAATTTTTTAGCCACTAAAAATTATACCAGTCATTCCTAAAGGAAATGTACCCTGATTATTCATTGGAAGGACTGATGCTGATGCTGAAGCTCCAACACTTTGGCCACCTGATGCGAAGAACTGACTAATTGGAAAAGACCCTGATGCTGGGAAAGATTGAGGGCAAGATAAAGGGTGTCAGAGGATGAGATGATTGGATGGCATCACTGACTCAATGGATATGAGTTTGAGCAAACTCCAGGAAGATAGTGAATGACAGGGAAGCCTGGCATGCTGCAGTTCCTGGGGTCTCAAAGAGTCAGACATGACTTAGCGACTGAACGACAAAAATTGTTCTGTGGATGAATATTTGTTGCAATGGGGAGAAGTTTGTGGTAGACTGTTAATTTAAAAATCAGATTCTTAAAACTGTGTACTGGATGGTCTGTTTGTAGTAAATAAATGTGTATATATTTAGAATAAAAAGAGAGCTGAATTGATAAATAGCAGTTGTTAACAATGATTGCCCCTCAGTTCAGTCGCTCAGTCATGTCTAACTCTTTGTGACCCCATGGACTGCAGCATGCCAGGCTTCCCTGTCCATCATGAACTCTCGGAGCTTACTCAGACTCATGTCCATCGAGTCAGTGGTGCCATCCAACCATCTCATTCTCTGTCGTCCCTTTCTCCTCCTGCCTTCAATCTTTCCTAGCATCAGGGTCTTTTCCAATGAGTCAGGTCTTCACATCAGGTGGCCAAAGTATTGGAGTTTCAGCTTCAACATCAGTCCTTCCAATGAACACCCAGGACTGATCTCCTTTAGGACTGACTAGTTTGATCTCCTTGCAGTCCAAGGGACTCTCAAGAGTCTTCTCCAACACCTCAATTCAAAAGCATCAGTTCTTCAATGCTCAGCTTTCTTTATGGTCCAACTCTCACATCCATACACGACTACTGGAAAAACCATAACATTGACTAAATAGACCTTTGTTGGCAAAGTAATGTCTCTGCTTTTTAATATGCTGTCTAGGTTGGTCATAGCTTTTCTTCCAAGAAGCAAGCGTCTTTTAATTTCATGACTACAGTCACCATCTGCAGTGATTCTGGAGCCCAAGAAAATAAAGTCTGATTACTCCTGGATAGGTGTTTTATTTACTCTTTTTGCTGATCTGTGTTTCGCAATTTTTCTTCAATAAGATTGTGTTGCTTAATGCTAACGAGTATGAAAGAGGAAATTAATAGTAACACAATAATAGTAGGAGACTTTAATACCCCACTCACAACTATGGATAGATCAACTAAACAGAAAATGAACAAGGAAACACAAACTTTAAAGGACACAATGGACCAGCTAGACCTAACTGACATCTATAGGACGTTTCACCCCAAAACAATCAACTTCACCTTTTTCTCAAGTGCACACAGAACCTTCTCTAGAATAGATCACATCCTGGGCCATAAATCTAGTCTTGGTAAATTCAAAAAAACTGAAATCATTCCAGTCATCTTTTCTGATCACAGTGCAGTAAGATTAGATCTCAATTACAGGAAAAAAATTATTAAAAATTCAAACATATGGAGGCTAAACAACACGCTTCTGAATAACCAACAAATCATAGAAGAAATCAAAAAAGAAATCAAAATATGCATAGAAATGAATGAAAATGAAAACACAACAACCCAAAAGCTATGGGACACTGTAAAAGCAGTGCTAAGGGGAAGATTCATAGCATTACAGGCCTACCTCAAGAAACAAGAAAAAAGTCAAATAAATAACCTAACTCTACACCTAAAGCAACTAGAGAAGGAAGAAATGAAGAACCCCAGGGTTAGTAAAAGGAAAGAAATCTTAAAAATTAGGGCAGAAATAAATGCAAAAGAAACTAAAGAGACCATAGCAAAAATAAACAAAGCTAAAAGCTTGTTTTTTGAAAAAATAAACAAAATTGACAAACCATTAGCAAGACTCAGTAAGAAACAAAGGGAGAAGAACCAAATTAACAAAATTAGAAATGAAAATGGAGAGATCACAACAGACAACACCGAAATACAAAGGATCATAAGAGACTACTACCAGCAGCTCTATGCCAATAAAATGGACAACTTGGAAGAAATGGACAAGTTCTTAGAGAAGTATAACTTTCCAAAACTGAACCAGGAAGAAATAGAAGATCTTAACAAACCCATCACAAGCAAGGAAATCGAAACTGTAATCAGAAATCTTCCAGCAAACAAAACCCCAGGACCATATGGCTTCATAGCTGAATTCTACCAAAAATTTAGAGAAGATCTAACACCTATCTTACTCAAACTCTTCCAGAAAATTGCAGAAGAAGGTAAACTTCCAAACTCATTCTATGAGGCCACCATCACCCTAATTCCAAAACCAGACAAAGATGCCACAAAAAAAGAAAACTACAGGCCAATATCACTGATGAACATAGATGCAAAAATCCTTAACAAAATCCTAGCAAACAGAATCCAACAACATATTAAAAAAATCATACACCATAACCAAGTGGGCTTTATCCCAGGAATGCAAGGATTCTTTAATATCCGCAAATCAATCAATGTAATACACCACATTAACAAATTGAAAGATAAAAACCATATGATTATCTCAATAGATGCAGAAAAAGCCTTTGACAAAATTCAACATCCATTTATGATTAAAACTCTCCAGAAAGCAGGAATAGAAGGAACATACCTCAACATAATAAAAGCTATATATGACAAACCCACAGCAAGCATCACCCTCAATGGTGAAAAATTGAAAGCATTTCCCCTGAAATCAGGAACAAGACAAGGGTGCCCACTCTCACCACTACTATTCAACATAGTTTTGGAAGTGTTGGCCACAGCAATCAGGGCAGAAAAAGAAGTAAAAGGAATCCAGATAGGAAAAGAAGAAGTGAAACTCTCTCTGTTTGCAGATGACATGATCCTCTACATAGAAAACCCTAAAGACTCTACCAGAAAATTACTAGCGCTAATCAACAAATACAGTAAAGTTGCAGGATATAAAATTAACACACAGAAATCTCTTGCATTCCTATACATTAACAATGAGAAAACAGAAAGAGAAATTAAGGAAACGATACCATTCACCATTGCAACAAAAAGAATAAAATACTTAGGAGTATATCTACCTAAAGAAACAAAAGACCTATACATAGAAAACTATAAAACACTGATGAAAGAAATCAAAGAGGACACAAACAGATGGAGAAATATACCGTGTTCATGGATTGGAAGAATCAATATTGTCAAAATGGCTATACTACCCAAAGCAATCTATAGATTCAATGCAATCCCTATCAAACTACCAATGGTATTTTTCACAGAACTAGAACAAATAATTTCACAATTTGTATGGAAATATAAAAAACATCGAATAGCCAAAGTAACCTTGAGAAAGAAGAATGGAACTGGAGGAATCAACCTGCCT